TATTATCATAATGTTTTATTGTCAGAGTTTATAGATGTGCTATCTTCACCGTCTGCTGTATATTTTGCTTATTTTATTATTTGTGTCTTTCTGCCAGAGCCACAAAACACCTTTTTTACATAGCTTGACTTTGTTGTTGTTGTTGCAATAATGGTTCTATAAAGTATAAAACCACATATATTACATGACACTGCTAAATTAAAATAAATTAACAGATAATAGCAACTTTTGTTTGACTCTCTATCCAATGAAAACCACTCACTTCCACATTTTGTAATTTGGAAACTATCTAAATAAATTGATAGATAAGTGGTTTCAAATTGTTATTCAGATAAATGCAATTATTCTTAAAAATGTTTTGAGATATGTCTCATAAGGCAGTAGTCGGTATGGAACTAAAACAACTTAAATAAATAAGAAATACAAAGAAAATGCTTTTTATTCAGGACATATGCGATTGGAATTCATATAATATCGGCATTGTTAATACAAAAGTAGTAAACAATGCACTTTTGATGATGAATACCTTGAATTAGTTGGAGATACTGTTTTTGGATTTCCCCCCCTGCAGGTTAAAAATAACACAAACCTGCGAAGTGGCTGAAATGTTGCAGAATCTAAATCTTCCCAATCCGAACTGCATGTAGATGTCATGTTTATTAATTCACTTTGATTATGGCGGTTGATTTGTACAGGATATAATAACAGGAACGTTTTAATAGAGGCTTAAACAGCCACTGGGGGGCGCTGTAAGGTCAGGGAAGCTGCTGTGCGTTTCATCCAGTCCACCTCAAATACTGGCTTACAGTAGCATTCTGTCGTGGGACAAATAATACAAACATTAGGGATTTTTATTTTAAATCTTTGTCATGTTGGTTATTAAAAACGATATTAATAAACGAGTTTAAACGCTTTTATTTAAGTGATTCTTCCATTTGAAGCTGCTTCTTTTCACTTCAACTGCTTCTTTATGAGAAGGCGTTTTCTACAATCAGCTAATAATGTCGATTCCTTTTCTGTATTCTAAAGTATATATTAAGTATACACTCACGTTTGGAAGTGTGGTGCTGTGTATTACTGTTGCTGAAACTTTCCCACTAAATCACTAATATGATTTATAACATGACAAGGACACACGTGGCCGAGCTAAACCATGAACACATCATTATTGACCTGGTTTATTTGATTGTTCTATGTTTCAATCCGTGTATGACGCTACACTGGAGAAGGGTTTACTCAAAAGGCATACATTTTCCGGCCTAAAACATTCCATCAACGCAATGTGTGTGTGTGTGTGTGTGTGTGTGTGTGTGTGTGTGTGTGTGTGTGTGTGTGTGTGTGTGTGTGTGTGTGTGTGTGTGTGTGAGTAAACCGGTAACAAGAGCGTAAAAAGAAAAGTACAAAAAGCTAATATTGAGACTGAAAGTTCAAAAAAGGAATATTATTTATCCATATTTTTTTGTTTATAAAGTTTACTAAAAACTCAACAGTGCACTTGTTTATATAAAAGTTATGAACAAATATTATAAGAACATTATTGGGATGAAACGTCACTAAGAAAGTAGTTAAATTAAATCAAGAACATTACCAAAAGCGAAACGATGATTATGAATTGTTTCCCCTCCCGTCGTTTTACGCGCCGTTCAAATGCTACAATACACGTTTGCAGTAAAGTGTAAAGGTTTATTCTCACTTTCCATTTGAATATCTAAATAGAAAATGATGTAGGTTTATAAGAGAAGCCTGTCAGTTATAAATGTGTAAATGAAATCCACTCGTGTTGTTGCATTAAAGGCGTTACATCCGCATTTGGAGAGAGGGGAGACTGGAGACAGGCAGATGAGATGCTGAAGCTGCACACACACTCCTCACCCCTCCTCACCCCTCCTACCTATCCATCCTGCCTGCTCACAAAACCATGACCTTCACAATTTATAGAGGAAACCCCCGAGAGCGCGTCATATTTTAAAACGTCCTCCTCTTTATTTCTTCTTGTGCCACAAAAACGTCTGGAAATGTAAATATAGGCCTTTTGTTAAGAGCTAAATGTCATTTCTTTTATATCCTAAAAGATGTCCCGTAAATATAATGAAATAATAACAACAACAACAATAATAATAATAATAAATGTGTGGTTCAAAATGAGGCATTTGGTGTGTGTATATAAATATATTTCTCAAGTTCAACTGAATTTAGTATTAATTATATAAAGATTAAATACAATTTAAAAAAACAATAAACACGGCAAGCCCTAGTATTTGATTTTTATATTGTAATGTATGAGCTTAAGAAAGTAAAAATATTCTTCTAATAATAATAATAATAATAAAAGGAGCACCAGTGTGTTGCATCATGACTTATGGAGCACCGCAGTGACAACAGAACAAATAAGCGGTGAATCAGAGACATCAAGCCGCCATACCTACTGTAAAATAACAGTAATAATAATGATCAAAAGTCAGCAGTTACCGCAGACAGGAGCAGCTTTTCTGAGGCACAGATAAATCCATGTGGAAGAGGAAGGCTCCCTGTGGAGATCAGCTCAGAATAATCCATATTCATGCGCTGCACACGTGCACTAAATACGGAACCATTGTGTACATCTCACCAGGTTCAAATGAGACTCAGATATTCTGTCTTTCAGAGTGGATATCATATAGCATCTATCATACTTCATAGTGTTTATAATAAGAGTTTAAACAGCTTTAATCACCACAAAGTTAAGTTTAATACAACGCGTTTATATCATTAAAAAGTCTACTTTAGTGGCAACTCTTAGAGCCTTATAATTAAACATATTACATTTACAAGCATACAAAAATAAAGCTTTTATTATTATTTAGTATGAACTGCTTTCTTATTAAATGAAAAAGTATAATTTATTTTATTTGATAAAGACCAAAGTAGGAGGGTTTATACAATCTAAGGGATTATTTGTTATTATGTTTGTATGGTTACATGTCAGCGACTGATGGTGCTTTCTGTTTATGTAAAATATTACAATTAATAATAAGGAATTAAAAGTTGTGTTTTATGGGACATATCCCCCCCCCCCCCCTCTGCTGAAGTCTTGTTTTAAAGAGCAGAGTGTGTGACAAGGAGCAGCTTTAATGAGCGCGTCCTCAATCAATAGCACGAGCGCAGAGAGAGAGTTCCTCGGGCCTGCACACACACACACACACACACACACACACACACACACACACACACACACACACACACACACACACACACACACACACACACACACTTACACACCCATGCTGCTGCCAACATGGTTTTGAAGACCCATGAAAAAAGGCAAAGCTGTTGAAGAATAGGCGAACCAAAACCCATTATGAGATTTGAAACTCTTTTTGTGTCGCCTTTGGTAAGAAATCTCTCTCTAGATATTTCTGCAAGCTGCTGGCTGCTACCAGATGTATTTTTGTTTTTGTTTGCAGTACTAACAAGTTCCTTTTATGGGATGTTTTTATAGTTCAACCAGGAACATAAAGTGGCTTATGTAGCAGGTCATGTGACTTTGCATTGGATTTAATGTTGGGAGGAAGTGCACGAGGCCAAAGAGGAGCACATGCATTTTTCAAAGACTATCAAAATATATTAGCTGACAAATATAATTAAACAAACAGTCCAACATTGTGTTGTTTTGAATAGCACCATCATATTTTGTTCTCTAAGTTGTCCATGGCTTCAACACATTAACGCACGCGGGGAAATAGAAAGTTTGGAGGACTGCACATATAGCGTTCTCTGCTGCCACTTTTACTAATGGAGACAAAGAAAAATGATGCCCACTTTCTCTATATCATTGAATTCAGTTGCTAAGCAACTAGTATGGGAAATCATCCGCGAAATTCAAATCCTGCAGCGAGGGGACACGTTTTGTGAGTTTTGCTGAATAGGCGAGCAAGACAACTCAAGAAAAAAAAAAAAAAAGTTTGGATCCCAGGAACACATTTGCCTCTTGCAGCCGTGACGAATCCTGATGTAAGAAATAAAATAGTGACACTGCCAACATATTGATTTTATCATTAAGTTATTATAGGGAAGTAAATAACACCTAACACGCGCGTTATCAGAGCCTTTTGGGGAATATTTTCCTGCACCTGTCCCGCACTAAGCCTCTCCAAAGTCCTGACACAACAATCAGATATTACTCCAAATCTCGCGTTGTCCTCCTCACTCACAGGATCAATAATCTGTGTGACCCTCACACAACATGTCAGCACACACCTGAAAACACACCTTTGGGAGGAGTGTGTGTATGGGACTATGGATGTGGATGATCACAATCCTGCATGCACTCAAAAGCAGCCAGCTATAAATCCAATTTTGCGCGTAAATCAATTATTTTGCAGATGGCTTTTTGTTGCACAGACGAGCGCGTGAATCAGGCTATTAATTACGTGTTTATCATTATTATGGGATGCAGGATCTGCACTATGAGCTGCAACGTAAATATGACATAACAGGCAGTTAGGACGCTCTGCACACTACATTATGGGCGTCATCTGTTTGCATTTCCTCACATAATTATACTAGTTTCTGCACACAAATGATACATGCACTGTTTTCCTGCTTTTTGCCCAAGGCCTTGAAGGCAGCAGATGTAAACAAACAGGAGAGCCATTGTGCAGGCCTGCAAATGACCGCGATGTTTCATTGAAATGGTAATACACAGTTATGGGATGATGATAACAACGCTGCTGGACATTTATTTAAGCCTAGGCAACAACTCATGGGCTCCTAAATGCTATTTTAATACGCCATTTATATTTTAGTATTTTTTAAAAGGTCGTGTTTTTGTATGTTCCCCTCTACAAAGCGTCTTTGTTGTGCTTTATTCTAATGGAGGTTATTATTAGCTCGCAGCTTCATCTGGGACAAAATAGTCCACCATTTTCTCCATGCAAAAAAAGAAGAAGGTGAATTCCCCTTTCAAAAATAAAATCAACTCGATAAGAATATAAATCTCCAAACACAGGATGATTGCATTTCATTCTAACAAATTTATTGTGTCTCAATCAGCTCGTACGGAACCACTACTGAAAATTAAATTACAATCAAATTATCACATCAAAATATACCCTTATTACCTAACAACGGTCAATGTCAGCTTATGATGATTTGTGCTCCTTTAGAAACGATAATACAAAATGAAACAAATAAGGGCAACAACAGAAATGTAAGAAAGAAATGAAGGGAAAACAAGAATAAAAGGGAAAGCATCTTACACAAGTTCCTGGAGGAGGAAATAAATTACCGTTTGGAATAATTCATACGTATTCCGAATAAAATATTAAAACAAGTCATTCTGATGAAAAATATAAAGTAAATAACTCAGATCAGTATCTGATCTAGTGATCTATATTGCCGGCTTTACAGAGTTTTGTTTATTAAAACCTACCAAAGAATACTGCTTAGAAAGGGCAGCAATAATATATCCACAGCACTCACTCAGTCACACTTGGCAACAGATTTTTTTTTCTCAAATAAGTGCAGTTGAAGTCTTTTCAAATGTCTTATGCTCTATTTGTGGAAAAAACGAGGAAAAATCCACTCACGGTGTCAAAGTCCATTAAATAATAAGAAAAAGCCCCCAAAAAGAGTGTGATCTTTAAGATCAGGGGACAGTCCTGGTCCTGTTTTCCTCTTCTTTCTGGGCTTTTGAGGCCTCAACATGACAACAAAAATCCCTAATCCTCCGCGTGTGTGTAAATGAAACCGTGCAGTCCACCTCAGAAAAACACAAATGCTGTAGATCAGGATGGAAGCGTCGTGGATGTCACTCTTGTTCATATTCTTGCAGTTTTTCCCCCTCTTGTTATTGTTAGAGCAGGGAAGGCGGTTCAGTCCCATTTCTAAATATACAGAATGCCTGCTCCTTTGTTTCTTCAATCAAACACAGGATAATGAGAGGGAATATTTTTTGGAGGAGGGAAGAGAAAAAAAAAGAATAAACAATACTTGGTTTCCTCTTGGTGTGTTTTAATGCGCCAAAATTACCTGGTGGAATGAGTTTGTAGTTGTCACCCTCTGGTCGCTCGCTTCACTTGCATCTTTTAAGTAATCTACTAAAAAATGCCCCTGAAAGAAAAAAGCAGAAGGAACCTTTTAGGAAAAGACATTTCAGGGCCTGGAAGCAGGTTAACGGTGCGTTTTTCAGAGGGGGTTGGGAGGAAGAAGGGAAAGGTTGCTGTTTTTTTGTTTTGTTTTCTGGTGAAAAATAGATAACACATTTGCAGTCTCATTCATATTCCCTCACAATCACAGTATCAAAAAGTGCTATCCTGGCGATAGTCTGTACGTTTTTTAAATCAGTTTAATTTCATATAAAATATTCTCTATGTTTCACTGAACATTCTTTTGCAGTCCATGGAGGGGGGCGGTGTTTCTGCACTCACATTGCCGACCTGAGAGTACACATCCTCCGGCGTCTGCGCCACTCCTGGGGGCGTCATCCGTTTTTCCTTCTGTCTCCTATTGCAAAACCATACTCTAACCACCTCCTTCTCCAGCTGCAAGCTGTCCGCGAGGCCGGTGATCTCCTGGGCCGAAGGTTTGGGGCATTTCAGGAAGTGGCTCTCCAGAGCCCCCTTGACGCTCACTTCGATGGATGTGCGCTTCTTTCGCTTCCTCCCCTGCGCTGCGATCTTGTCGATGCTTGTGGGGCTGCCGGTGGTCGAGTCGGCCTCCTCTAGCCACTTGTTTAACAAAGGCTTGAGCTTGCACATGTTTTTGAAACTGAGCTGCAGAGCCTCGAATCTGCAAATGGTTGTCTGAGAGAAAACGTTCCCGTACAGGGTGCCCAACGCCAAGCCGACATCCGCTTGCGTAAAGCCCAGTTTGATCCTCCGCTGCTTGAACTGCTTGGCGAACTGCTCCAGGTCGTCGGAGGTCGGCGTGTCGTCGTCCGAGTGCTGGTCGTGGCTGTTGACGCCGCCGTGGTGCTGGTGATGCGGATGCTGATGGTGGTGATGGTGGTGGTGGCTGCCGTGGTCCAGATCTGGGGTGTCCCCCCTCACTAAGCCCGGGTGCACCAAGCTCTGGCTCCCCGGACTCAGCATACCGTTCACAGTGAACCCCCCCGGCTGGGAGTAGAGAAGCGACTGCTGCTGCTGCTGTCCCCCGGATAATGAGTTAATGTGCGCCGCAGTCGTGCTGCCCCAAGCCCCGGCGTGAGTCTGGTGTGGAGCTAAGTGAGGGGGCCTGTGGTGCAGCGCGGTGCCCGTGTGCAGGTCGTCTCTGCCGGAGTTTTTCACGTCCTGCTGCTGCGGGCTGCCAGTCATCCCGACGGGACTCGACGACCAGGGCGAGCCGGCTTCAGCTGCAGCCACCGCGGCTGCTGCGGCTGCCGCTGCGGCGTGCGGCAGGGAAGTGACCCACTGGTGGGCATGGCTCAGCATGTGTCCCCCGTTGCTCGCTGCCATTGCGCCTTGCATAAAGTCACTCTGTACCATCTTGATTGAGGGGTCTCCCCTGTAGCCCCCAGACCCCGAGGTAACCGCAGCACTGCCCTGCTGCATGCCACCACCTCCGGAGTCAGAGTGCACGATGGAGCCGGACGATAAGATGCTATTGCTGGACAGATAAGGATTGGAAGCCGCGGTGGCCATTCCGTCAACCCTTATGAATATGTTTGTGGATAACCCCCCTCCCTTTTTACAGTCGCTTCTTTCGAGCAGGCAAATTGTATCTCATGAATTATTCAAACTTTAAAAGTATGAGTAGGTTTTTGGCAATACCATCGACGCGCGTAAAAACGCAAGAAAAGCTTCAAAAAGCGATGGCAGAAAACTGGGTAAAATCCGCATGTATTTACAACATTATAGTTCAGTTGTGCATGGATATCGGCGAGTAGAATCCAAGGGTTTTCAAAAGCCCTTTGAAACCATGTGCAGTCCGCTTAGAAAGTTTTGCACTGGGATGAAAATGTGAGCATTAAAATTCAAATATAGAAGAGAAAAAAGCGTTGCCCCATACAAACTTTTGGAGGTTGCAAAAAACAAACAAAAAGCCTTGCAAATTCTCCACAATGTACAAAGTCCCAGTTTATGTCCCCTTTGGATGAGAAAAACATTAGCAGAGTCCTTTTGTAATTCAGTTGCCGAGATTTCTCCCTCGCTTTATTCTTTTCTCTCTCTTCTTTTATAGCACTGTAGAGCCTCTCTTTGTTCTGTTTTGATGTATATAAACCTGCCAAACCGCAAACTCCCGATGAAGTACAATCCAACAGTGCGCGGCGCTGCTCGCGAGCCTCTTCTCTCATTCGCTTGTTCTCTCTCTCCACCTCTCTCTCTATATCTCTCTCTCTCTCTCCCTGACAGGCCCTGTAGTCCCGCCCCCCTCCCCGAGCACGACGACGCACGGATGTTTACCCCGTGCGTCCCCGCTGATTGGCTACCCGGGGTGTGATTGACAGGGCTCGCCAGCCTTGCTCCGGGCGCACGGGCCCTCCTTCCGGCTGTTTCAATTGGCTGATTTTTAATTGCAGTCCAAACAAAACGGGGAACACAACTTGGTAGTAAATAGGTATTAGAACACTAACAAGGGTGAAGGGGGTAAATAAATGAGGTCGATCAAATGTGACCTCTTGTTTGTGATCAGCACAAGTCAATTCACATGATGGGCATTTCTTTTTTTCTAAACAAGGTTCAACATATTTAAACACATGTTTTAAAGGTTTATGCTAGATATAATTGTATTTAAATAGTTGCATTTTCTAATATCCTTGTTACAAACACACATCCAGGACTAATGCAAGAGAGTGTATCCACCATCTATTACATTTGACATAATAAGATCAATTTCTAACAATTATCTGGTAGCATGACCTGATTGTGTAATAATAAGGTATCCATGCTGAGTTAAATTCCCTGCGGGCCGCTGTAAAACATTCAGGAAATACTTAGAATTAATGGTATTTATCTTGTCATATTACCTTATGAGGGACATTTGGGGTGTTTAAATGGTGAATATTTAAAGACTGTTTGGCATATTCTTTATATATGCTTGTTATGACACTAACCCTCAGAGCAGCACATGTAAACTAAGAGAGGAAGTGCATGTCATGGTGTGAGTGGATCCACCTCGGATCCTCAGGAGTTAACGCGCAAAGGTTGCAGGGATGCTTCCATGCGGAAACGCCGCGCACAGGCAACCTCAGTGAAGCACAGTGAAAGAGAAAGTGGCAACCAAAACAGGGGCAAATTGAGCAATCCTTGGGGGGATTTGTGCGTGCAGGGTGGCGGTGCTGGAAAAAGAAAATAGGGGGAGATATAGCCTTTAAAATGCACACCATCCCTCAAGATGACCACATAACCCCAGACATGAATGGGCCCTTTGTTTACTGCGCCTTTGGACGCACCCATGGGTGGTAATAAGTGCCAGATATACAGCTCCCACTGCACCCATTGGTTGAGTTGAGGGTGTCAGCAGCCTGTTGAGTCCACCTGACCAAAAACAAGGCCTGTGGCAGCAGGTGATCCTCCGCAGGATGAGCTGTAGTTTGTACAAAGGTTAGTTACATGTCGCGCGCGGAACCCCCAAAACACCGGCTCCTAAGCTCCCCAAAATCAAAGATGGCGCAAAGATTTTATTGCAAAAAAGGGATTTAAGGGCAGAGGAGTTCTTCAGCACAGGCTGTGTACTCCATGCCAGCCCCCCCCCCCCCCTTTCTCATCCCAGTAGATTTAATTTGGACTGGGCTCCAAACGAAGTGAGCCTCGTGGATTTGTTTACATTGAATAGGCAGGCTAGGGGCCAAAACCATGGGGCCCTCATTCATTCACATACAGTGAGGATTGCTGTCTAAATGACTGCTGTTCAATCCACACCGTGCGCTTTGAAAGGGTCTCAGGCGGCCAGAACAGTGACACAAGGCAGAGACCCCTCAAAATGAGATAAAATATAACATATATGAAAGGGGAGTCAAAAGCCATTTGAGAAATACTCCCCAAAATCACAGCGCGGGGATAAAAAGAACACACTCCACTCTGATATATGATGTGCTTATTATTTATTTGCTTATTATAAAAGGTCCCCAAGTTCCCTGCTGGGGGAGTTCATTTATTTGGTATGCAAAAAAAGAAAGAAAGAAAGGGGGGAGAGGGAAAAAAATCATCCCCAAGTATAACAAGAGACGAACAGTTAGTGCTGATTTTCATTTGCATAAATTTTCATATATTTTAGTGAAAATAATAGCGGGAGCCGAGGAGTGCTCCTGCTCAGTTGAGGCAGAGGAAAGGAAATCTTAGGGCGCACCGAGTCGTAGGGAAAGGGAGATAACCATTTACAGCCTCCATATGAACAATGTGAGGCTATTTCCCTTTTCTTGGACTCAAGGTAAGTCAACAATTATCCATGCGGATTTCTTTTTACGCTTGAGGAATGTTGGAGTTTATCGCCTTGTCGCGCATTGCTCCACTGTGGCTGCTTCTATATAGACTGCTCGCTGCTTTCAACGATACACCATCCTACTTGTGCACTCATATTCTTTTATATATTTCATAACCAAATGGCAAATGCGTTTTCCTTTTTACCCTGGATGCGTACAAATCAATATACGCGCAGCGCTGTTTGCACCGCAACCGCCTTTTTTGTGTGCTTTTTTGATATAAATAGCGGGCAGATGGATAAGCTGTGCTGTTTTGTAGTGAATGTCCACCGGAGAAAAGTGCAATCAATCACATTTTAAGCAGGGAGCGAGGAAGAGAGGGAGGGAGGGAGGGAGGGAAAGAAAGACCCCTCGGTTGAATCCTCCAGAGGGATCGCGTAGGCAAGTGCAATATTACATCGTTTAATATAAATCGATCTGTAAAGTTTATTTAAAGTTTATAAGCAGCAGCTTGTCGACTATTGCTCGGTCTTATAAATATCCCGAGATGGTAATGAATGCTGACCGGTTTGTCCTTTTGCTGTTGGAGCTGGAAATGTCAAGAAAACTAACACGATACATTTGTTTAATGTAAAAGAGATCTGGGCTCAGGCAATGATCAAATGGCAGATACTAATCATTCCAGTGTCTGTCACAACTTTAATTTGTCAAGAAGTAGTTTGGGTTTTCGGGTTATTTTTTTCTCACGGGTTAACTCCTTTTTTCCTCCATGGATGGGGAGTGCATTTCTGAGCCCAGCACTTGGTAGCCATGGTGAGCCCCATAAAAGGGGGAACACTAGTCGCATTAAGCTGTATGTTTGTGCACTGGAGTCGAGATGAAAAGAGGCTTGGTGTCCCGGGCCAGCAGCAGCATCGGGTACGCGTTACAGTAACGAAATTACTCCATCTGCACCACCAACAATTCGTTATTCTTCTTTAACTGCCCGTTAGTGACTTGAGTTATCAACAAACTCTGATTATGTCCGTTTTCCTCGCCATTTTGTCTTGGAAAATAAAGAATATAATTGTATTAGTGAATATAATTTAGGTCTTATTTAGCAAAACATTGATTTATTAGTTTTGAGCAGCACACACAACTGATTTGGCAGACTTAGCAGATCGTTGTTGTATATCCGGTGGGCTATTCTTACGGGAAATTAAAAGCAATCACATTGTGGTGCGTAACGGGAAAGTAATGTAACGCACTTTCCGCATACAATGTATTTACATTGCATAACATTTTATTTTGAACATCCTGCAGGCAGCTGCTGCTTGAGACAGATTTCGGGAGTCATTGTTGGATTGATCATAAATAAAAGAATAATGATAACTGCCGCCAGGTGTCGCGCGCACTCATGATGCAAGCATTCTATAGCTTACAGTGCAAAAAACGTCCATCTTATTTGCATTTTTATAAATATTTTGTATTATTTTATTTTAATAATTATGTATTTGACAAATTATCATATGGTTAGCTTATTCCACGGGCATGCAGTGCAGTTTTTACTTTCACTAAATTACATTTCAATGCCATTTGACTTACATTTTAAGCGGAATCTCTAGACTCAACAGAATCATTTTAATGCGTTTTCATTTACAATTTGAAAGTGAACATGAACCTCAAAGGAAATTCCTGAAAACGAATGTCCAGCCCATATATATATATATATCATTTGTTCATAGTGTTAAGGGTTTCGCATTGTAATTTTATAGCCACCGTTTCAAGAACAGACATGAATTGATGGTTGGATGACACGATTGACAATTAAGATATCACTGCGCTGGCGGAGGAACATGACTGAACGGGTCAGTGTGGAGAAATCATATCTCACACACATTCACACACATGCAGTGCTTAACACATATGCTGCATTTAGCTAATTCTTGCAAAACACCCCAAAGAAAGGACTATATTTGTGGCTTATCCTTCATTCCCAGAGGCAATTAAATCCACTTAATTTAATTATCCAATTTTAAAGACATCCCACCCGATTTCATTGCAGGCTATACCCGCAAATACATTATTTTTTTCCCACACATTTCCGCGCCATTAGCCTCAGGAGTTGCGTAAAAGCTGCTTGTATTGATCTGTGACAGCTCTGGTTAATATGCAAATAGTGTGTGATCAGAAAGGGCCTGTTTTAAACCAGTCGCCATCAGTAGCCTATAATCCATACGTGTGAGGCCGCAGCTCGTGCGTAAAGGTAGGCTACCAACCAAACACCTGGGTACTAGGATTCGTGGATCATCCGGGGAACTAGGGCTTGTGCATTGCAATTTCTCCGCATGCTTGACCGGCCATTTAGCGTTTTTCTTCATCATCGTCATCACCATCATCAGCAGCGACAAAGCAGCAAGCGCGTTATTACTCTGCATTACGCACCCGTTTTGTCATGCTGTACAATGACGGTTATTGGTAGCAGGAGGCCATTGATTTATTCCTGCAGGATTGTCTAATTCATCAAGATGCGTTCATGAACTCCCAA